GATAAATATATAATTTTTCCATTCATAAAGTGAGGCTTTTCTTTGAGAAAGGAGACTTTCAAAGGTGAGAAAACATACGCGACGGAAGAGATTAAAGAAATATACATCTAATTTTCATTACAATTAGCTTTAGTTGACACTTGACAGAAGAATTCCCTTGGGATGCTCTACCTGACTCAGCATTGTCAATGCTTCAACCAACTTATCTTGATCTAGTTCATGAAACTCGGCTGGATAAGAAGATTTGAGAAAAAAAAGCCCCTGAGGAAAAAGGTCCTCATTTTGATTTTTTTCTTTCCATTATCTCATTTCTGATTGCATAGTTGGTATACTCTGGCCACCTAGGAGCACAAAAGAGCAGCGAATGGGAGGAAAAATGTGAAAGGGATTGAACATGTTTGAACATTTTGAATCATCGTCTAACCATTTGATTTTTTCATGCCCATTAGCTGTATTGATGGTGTTCATTTTCATTACAGTTTGCTGCCAAAATTTGCTTGCTTACATCATTCAAGGATAACTGTCTTATTGAAATTGTTCCCAAGGAAAAAAGTCCTTCTAAAGGTACGCTATAATTTCTCATTTACAAGAAATCCTCACATTTTTTTCTTAGCAACATTATTATTAGCCTTAGTTCTGTGTGAATAATAAGAGGAGTCTTCAGAGCCAGAAGCACTTAGCAGATCAGAGATGGAATAAGATGCTGGTTCTCAGGCTAAATTTCCGCAGTTACTTGAGTTCCTGCCCTCTTCTCCATTATTTATTGTATACACAATATGGGAATGAGGCACTTAAAACTATATATTAGATGATGATAGAACAATGTCGTGAATTTACCTTTGATAGAATTAATTCAATATCTCCATTCAAAATACAAACAACATATTCTTTTATCTTCTGTTCATTGAACATCTGTGAAAAAGGGATTTTGGGTAATCTTTTAAACTTCATGTATTTTTGCTCTCTTTGAAAGCCCCTGGTTAGGAATATATATATATTAGATTTGACTTATATTAAAAAAGATAGAGATAGAGCTAAAAAGACTTTTGTGTGTTATTACTCACCGGCCTTCTTTTATTATTATTATTATTATTTTGCTTGCTATTTTTGAATTATATTTCAGCTCCATTTGGGATAGTTTTTTTACTATTTTTTAAAACAGTTTTTTAGTACAAAAATTTCTTGTTCAAAAATTTTTTGTACTAAAAAGTTTTTCTTCTCATTACTGCAATTTGCAAGTTTCCTAGGAATGAACTTCATGGCCAACCAAAGAACTCAAGTAACCACCAATATTTCGTTTAATAAAAACAAAACCACATGTTCCACTTAACTTACCTATTGCTCCCTATTTGCTTTTCCTCTTGTAATTGTTCACTCGTTCATGCCTTCACTAGTTGTAACTTTTCTCCGTAACCTTTTTTACAGAGCTCTGGCTGAGCTTCTGGAGCGAAGTGCATTATAATTCCTTATATGGAACCGATGGTAAGGATGAAGGACTCTGGATTTGTTTGAGACGGCTTTTTTACTACTTCTTAAAGCAATTTTTTAGTATAAAGATTTTAATTTTTGTACTAAAATGCTGTTTTAGGAAGCAGTTGGAAAGCCGTCTAAAACGAAGCCTCTATTTGTTTAGATTTCACTGCCCTTCTGTTGTATAATTGTACTAAATGAATTTATTGTAATTGTGCAGATTTACCTGGTAGGATAACCAAGAGAAAGCACTGGCTTTTTTAGTAAGTCCTCAAAGCCTAAAAAGTAAAAGGACCTGTGGTTATCTTGAAAAAAAAGAAGAAAATTTTGGATGCATAAGAGCTGGATGATAACAAAAATTATGTCCAAATGTTTTATATAAATTATATCAGGATGGGTTTCAAAATCATTGGATTTAATTTGAGATTAGTGCAATATAAATTTCTTATATTATATATCACTAATCTCAAAACAAATTCAACTATTCTAGATGAAATCTAGCGATATCCAGACAACTTTTTTTTTCCATTATAGTTGGATTCAACCAAAGATCCAGCTCTACCTTTCCCTCATGATCTTTTGGTTCAAATCTCATCTATTTCTTAGTAAATTTCATCCTACAGATTGAGGTGATTAAAAAAAAACTATTCAGCTATGAAATGGCCTGATAAATGTACATGATTAATGTGTACATTTATGTATATATTCTGCTAGGATTTGTGACTTCTTCCCAAGGAAAGAACAAGCATAGGCAATTTAGTTTGTTGTAAAGAATGATGAATGGTGTGCATAAGTGTTTACAAGTAGAGGCTTCTCAACATTTGCCCTAAGTGTCTTATGTTTTTGTGTGCTCTTACAATTGTTGATCATAGCTATAATGGCCTATAATGAATTCCTTGTGGTGAGTTTCTTTCAATGCCTTGAAATTTAGCCTTGGTTTTAGAATATTTGAGCTGCCTCTGACTTAAACATGAGATTAGTTAATTAATTAATTGAGTCTGAATTTGAGTTCAATTTTATGAGATCCAGTTGGCTCGTAAGGCAGCTCGTTTTATGAAAAAGAGAAGATAACGGTAGTTGAAGGATTTGTTGCGATGAAATTAGGAAAATTTTGAGAAATTGAAATATAAACAATGAGGAAAAAAAAGCCAAGATAAAGGATGATAATTAGGATTTTTAGATTTTTAAAGAATTTAAAGGCACTTAATTTTAATTATTTTAAGGTAAATTTCATAGGTAGTTAGAAAAGCAGAGTTAAAAGTTGTTCAAATTTGATTTGTTAGTTCATCAAATTTAATTATGATGTTTAGGGTTAAAATGGCTTGGCTTAATGACATTTTCAACTTAAATTTTATTTGAGACAATTTTTTTACTGTTTTACATTTCAAAATGTAACCACAATTTTTATTTTGTTGTTATTTCTTTGCTGTTTTTAAAAAAAATTGTGTAAGAAAATTATTTTATATATTAGTTTCAAAATAGTTATTTTCTACTGTAAATTTATAAATCAATAAAAAGCTATACCAAATAAAACTTCAATTAATCATATATATCTTCGTATATATCCGGCGGCCATATAACCGCCGGTACTGGCTGTTTTTCCTGTAGTAATTATTTGCTTGTTAAAATGGCAAATTTAGGCTTCGTTTGGTACCGTTTTCTTACTGCTTCTTAAGCACCTTTTTACTAAAAAATATTAAATTTTTTACTAGAAAGTCACTTTGAAAAACAGTAAGAAAGTCGCTCCAAATGAAATCTTAGGCTTTATTTGAAATAACTTTTACTATTTTCTAAAATAATTTTCTAGAACAAAATTTTC